TGGCGGGATAAAAGGGGCCAGCGACTGCCTGGCCCACGCGTTTTATAGCGCAAAAGTAGTGCCGAGTGGGAATTGGGGAGCGGGGAGTCGGGGAGAGGGACGAGCACATGGGCCCTTCCTTTTAACTCGCCTGGGGTTCACGTCGGGCCTCTGCCGCTGCTGGGCGGAAAAAGACCTGGGCTGCAGACGCTGACATCTGTTCCAGTCTCTCTGTATTCAGACCCAGAGATCGGTTTTTCCTGTTGGCTTGTGTCTTACATTGCCTAGGTAACCTTATATTTTGATATACGTTATCTTTCAGAACAATGATTTTGAAGCCAGGTTATTACAGTCCTGAAGCATCGTTATTAGTACTAATTGCTCCTTGCATGTAGCGTGTGGGGTGAAGTATAAAGGTTCTTAAATACCAGGCTTTTATTTCAGGAACTGATATCTATCACAAAGTAAGTTTAAGCCTTATCAGACTATGAGGTTTGAGTTTTCTTTTTCATAGCCTTCCAAGAACCCTTTGCTACAGGAAGGCTGTGCTACAGGAACTCGTCTGTGAGCATGTAGGTTTATAAACATTCTAACTACTATTTACAGGTGAAAATATCTTCTGCCCTTAGTGTTTGTATTCTGAACATATAAGCACTACACAAGTACATGAGAGAAGTGAAATGTCACCATTTTTTTATTGTTTAAGATAACTGGAATGCAGAAAGTGCAATTTTTTTCCCCAAAGTTTAAACTGCATGTATATTCTTATGTCTTATTCACTACCGTTTGTATTGTTAGCAGCTGTTTAATAACTTTTTAATAATATCAGTGTTGTCAATGCCTTCTAAAAGAGGGATGTTAGTGATCTGCATTTTTGGCCTGGGCCTGCTTCTTGTTTATGTTTTGAAACAGAAGGCCTTTTCTGAAACCAAGTTCTGGATAATGTCATGGAAGTAAGTTCTAAATTTATAAGTTGTTGGGATTTGAAATGAAAACTTATCAATTTATCTTTCAAAGCCAAGTACTAAAATCTACATACAGTATTCATTTCTAGTGTGAAATATTAAATGCTTTAAACCAGGCCAGGAGATGTTAAATCATAATGCTGGTTAACATCTGTTCTTTTGTAGGTCTGAGTCTGTACCAGCAAAATTGTATTATTGCTCTGGTCCCTAATGGTTAACAGGGTGACAAAGCACATGCTGCTAGTACTGCTAGAGATTTGTGTGTCTGAACAAGGAAAATGCCGGCTTCTCCTCAATGAAAAAGATCATATTTTATTAAATGCATATTGACCACAAACATCCCCTCGTTGCCTGAGGTTTTCTTGTGCGCTGAGGATCCTTTTCTTGTGCAGCAGATCTAATCTGGCCCTGTGCAGTAAAGGTCATCTGTGGTGGTCAGACTGTCTGGTTCTTTTGCGTTTTGGCTTCAGTGGAAGCGGGCATCTCGGTTTCCCCTGGTCTTAAACACAGTCCATGGGGCAAGCCTTCATCCTAAGAATGGTGGAAAAGTGATACATGAAGGCTTGTATTATTTCTCTCAGGTATTCTTATGCAATTGAGGGACCACTTATGCCTTCCTCTCCATCCATATGATCGTGGACTTCCTTCAGGGGCCCTTGTTATATGTGAATCCAAGAGATAAAGTTTAAATTCTGAAAACCAAGCTCTTTAGAGTGCCTGGACAATGAGGATTGAGTTTCTAGATATAAGGTTGGTATTATTGGTATTATATTTGGCTGGTGATGAGTAAATATTTGTGGATGAATAGACATCTGTGTTCAGATATCCCAAAGAAGGGAATACAGTGGTAAGTGAACTCTAGAAATAGTCTAAGAACTTGCTACCTTTAAGTAAGTCAAGTGTTTATCAGAAAACAGGTGTTACAGGAGTGCCCGAGATTTAAATTTTATTCTAGATTTTCAGATTTTGGTGGTAAGTGACTTGCAGTGGAACTAGTCAAGTGTCAGTTTATACCTTTTTATATGTTCACTTTCCTATCGTGTTGCAGCCCTAGATTTATTGGATATTAACGTTTTTCATTAACTTCCTTCTGAGTCTGCCTCTATAACAGAGCCTACCAGGTTTTGGTATTACTGAGAATAAACTGGACTGGTGAAAGCTGAATCAAAACTACCTCAGTTCTAGCATGAATTTGCATGAAAACAGTGGGATTTCTAGTACCGAAGAGAGATGGTTATGGAAGCTGTCTCCCTTAGCTCATCCCAGATGCATGGGAATAATCTTACAAACTTTCGTTATGCAAATTTTGTTTCCTGTTGATAAATACCTTAAGACTTTGTTAAAGAATTCTATCAAATAAAAATGAAATTTTTTGATTAGAATTAACTCATTCACTTATTTCAGAAAGTGGCTGATGTCTTCATTGCAGGTGCTAATGCTGCTTTCATCATATACTCTGAAGAAAATAATTCCTGCTCCTTTTTGGGTTTTACTTTTTGCTTTCCCCTCCAGGGCTACTTCTGTACAGTACTAAGAAGAGTAAGTTTTAATGACCCTTTTAAAAACCTCGGTCTTTTAAAGTCGTGTTCTAAATGACCTAACTTTAAGTTAGACGAGAAGCTAAAATGTCTCTCTGTAGTCCCATTTTTAAAGTTTCTTTCCTCTCGCCGCCATTCTGTTTCCGTTGTTGCAGTGATGTACTAGTGACTTCACGTTTTGTTCTTACAGACTTTGATGTGAAGTTGATGGAGTATGTATTATAGGCTGGATTTCCCCCCCCCAATAACGCTCTGTAAATAGGATGTCCATTTAGGGGTTTATAATTCACTTCATTTATACAAATACCTCAGTGTTCAGTGGACTTTATTCCCACATATGTTTGAGGTAAGAAAATGTTTTATCCACAGTTATTCTTGGCAGTCTGAGGTACTAAACATCAACCTATCGGTAGTTGTGCAGGAAGCTTTGAAAATGGGCTGAAAATTGGGAGCCGCATCTACTGATTCCTGAGCCATTATCTTGTGCAGTAGAGCGTTCTTTTTCCATGTTGAGTGTATATTCTTTAAAGAGGGACATATTTCCACTTTTATGACTCTGAAGGCTTATTGTACAGATTCAAAATGTGATCCTGCTGCTAAACTTTCCTGTTACTCTTGCCGTTATCTTCTAAGTGCCATGTTGCATGCTAGGATAAGGTTCTGATGTGGGTTCCTTGGTGTGTGACTGATGAAGTTCTGCTGATACAAGAGACAGGAAGTGCAGCCAACCATCAAGCAGAAGGCAAGCATGTCTTATTTTGTCAGAGTGGATAGTGGAATGTTTTTCATACAAGATAATAGTTAACTTTCCATGCCGTTCTTAAACGGTCATTAAAAGCTATTAGTTAGATACAGGGCTTTTAAGCTTGTACAGTGTTTCTCAAAGGCCAGACACATATTCTTAGAGTCAATGAGATGTTAATGCCACCTGCTGGCTCAGAGTTACTGTAAATCCTGCTCTGCACCTGCAGGAAGTAGACAGTAAGGAAATACCTGATGAGCATAGCATTTGCAAACCTTTATGTAGGATTAGAAAGTCCTGCTTTTCGAGCCTGTTTGAATGCTCTTCTGGAGAGAGTATAATTAATTCTACAATGAGTTTTTCTCTGTCCCTTTTCAAAGGTTAAGTATAGGGTGAGGTGGGGGAAATAGATTTATATTTTCTTGTTTTTTTTGCCAACAGGCAGGATTCAGACTTTCTACCTCTTTATCCTTCGTCTAAATGTTTGCTTCTGATTCTACAGATATGATGGACTCTTATGTCTTTCTTTTGTCTTTTTCTCTAAGCTCGTTCCCTTCTGACTTGGGTGTGATCATAATAGCTCTTGGTGGGGAGAGTTGCTTTGTGGCCTAAAAATCTTAGGTAACCAAAAGATACTTAGTGGATTCCTAGTAGAGAGGTGTTTGAAAATTATATCTAAATTGGGCTTTTATTGTGGAAGATAAGGAAAAAGACTTCCTACAGTAAGGTATGCATGAACTATATAATGAAAGTACGCTCACATAGACAGCTTCACATTCTTCTAATCATGGTATCATTTTTTTCAATTAAAACTTGGAGGCTGCTGAATTCTATGCTTTTCCCAATTTATTCATTTAACTCTCTACTGCAAAAGAGTAAGGATAAATAAATTGTTGCGTTCATCGCCTAGTTTGTGTTGTCTTCATCTGCAGAAAATCTGTTAAATTTTTAAATAATTTGCATTGAATGCTGCTTGAAGCTTGTGATCTGTGTATGCTAGCATTTTTTGTTAATACGGACTATAAGGAGTGAATCTATTGTATTGTTACTCTGTGCACCAAGAAAGGTGAAGAAACAAGGTATTCTAAATTGTGAAAGAGTCAAGATCTGCTGTTGAAGGATGGTATAGGTGGCGTAAAGGAAGAAACAGCAGAAACCTTATGATGTGGCATATTTCTCCCTGCCTAACTTTTTTTCTTTTACTACTAACTTAATTCAATAAATGTGTATATTTTTTCTTCCTTGTCTGGGGAAAGTTTAAGTACTGTAGAACTACTAATGTTCTACAATACACGTTTTCAGCAATAAGGAAATGTCTATGTTACCTTGCAAATTTGGCACAAGTTAAAAAAAAAGTATTTCTAAAATTCATCACCTCCTTTAGTTGATTCTTGGACGAGCTTGGTGGAATGCTAGCATTTACAGAATAGCCGTAACTTTTTTTTTATACTTGTTTTTCTCTCCAGGACACTGGAAACAGGTGTGATGTGAGTATGTTTGGCTAGAAGAGTAAATTACATGTGTTTTGTTTGTGACTGACTTAGAAGTTATATTGAATAATCTAGTTTCAAAGTTAGCCCTACTTAGAGCAGAGGGTTGGATCAGAGGATCTTCTGAAGTCCCTTCCAACCTAAGTTATTCTATAATATTTGAACTCCTGTGTGTTTAAATAGTTTCTCTTGTGTCTCCACCTATATCCAGAAGTTTACTGAGTTTTATTTGTGGTCGCTTATCAAATGCTTTTTGAAAGGCTAACTCTTTTCAACTTTCTACTCCAAAGTGGCTGATAAAACTGGACTAGCTTTTAGGGTTTTGCTAATTCAAGTAGAAAACCTGTAATAACTATGGCTTCTATTGAACTCGGACACTAGGCTAATTGCTTCTGTTTCTGAGCCTGTGCTGAGTGTGACTCTTTTCTCATTAAATCAATAAGTTCTAGTCTTGCTGGTAGATGGGGCATCTCTTTGGATTATGCCACAAACTACCCTTTCCTAAAATGGCAGTATTCTACTATTCTTTGTTGGACTGAGATGTAATGGATGATGATAAACCTATCCCTTCTTCTTATGGTATGCCTTTATGTCTTCTGACAGCATGGGCTGCCGTTGTTTCTTGAGAATAGCATGACTTATTTTAGCTTGGAGTGCTGAGAGACAAAGGGTGAAGGTGAAATTTTCAATATACTGTCAACCATTGTTTTTTTACATTGCTCTGGAACTGATGAATCTTGTACATCTTGACACTGAAGTGCTTCAAGTTCATCTGTTAATACCTTTCTCTTCCAAATTTCCTGGTTTTGGCTGGTATGTGGTTATTCTTTTAAGCGCATCTTCCAGGTATCCTATCTTAAAGCCTTGCAATTGTGCAACACTTCCAAATTTATCAATAAGGTATTTACTTGTAAGCGTAACTCATGTTTATAACTAGTAATGCTGGCGGGCTTAGCGGACTTCAGTTTAAATGGACCTTCAGCCTTGTGGTTATGTCAGAGTAAAATTGCTGTTCTTAGTAGGGAGCCTAAAGTTTAGAATGTATTCTGTCTTTTAAATAAACTTACTCTTTTGTATCCTTGATAAAACTCTTGATATTCAGGCCTACTAATATGGAGGTGCAGTTGCAGAAAACTGAAGTAGACTCAGAGTTTGCATGTAAATTCAATCTGATGAAAAGGTTAGGGATACCTTCCCACATCTGTGAGGAAAGAGCAGGCATTGGGAACCATGTAAGTGTCATGTCCTTCAGGCTTATCAGCTTAGACAGAGTTCAATTTCTGCAGTGGCTGATTCTTCAAAGTCTGCTTCAGCATCCCAACTACATGGACATCCGTGATTCAGTTTCATGGAAGTCCAAGCCCTTCAAAGAAGGACTTCTAACTTAATGGGAGTGTGTACTGTAAGTTAATACATTCTTTGGATATGTTTGCATATTATTTGGTATCATTAATAGCTTTGCATTTGTATAGTTGTTGCAGAAGGAGACCTGGGTGACAGTGGTTAGGAATGATTTAAAAACAGCTACTACTGTCTTCCTCTGCATTGAAAGTATGCCAGAAACCAAAGCTTTGGTGTCAGGCAAGTGTACTTGCTTGAAAACACTAAGCTCAATGCTGATCAGTAAAAGTCTTTCAATACATAGGCTTCCTACTAGTTTTCTTAGATATGGATTTTCAGATGTCGTTACTTCAACCAAATTTCTTTTGGTGCCGAGACTTTGGTGGTGAGGCAACTGGTATTCTTGATGACGTGTGCTGAGAGTCACTTAAACAGCAGTCTTTTGCCATGCTTTTAGAGCTGTAAATGAAATATGCGTTTCCTAGTCAGTTTAGCCTAGTGTTACCTTAATCACGAGATGAGTAATTGCTGAGCTGATAGTTTGGATTCTTTGTATGCTTTTTTCCATAAGGTGCCTGCCATTTAAAGCAAAACATTCCATATTTGCACTTTATCACACCAACTGAATTCTATATTAAA